AAACTGAACTGAGATAACCTGAGCAAAACCACACAGCCTGTAGATAGCAGAGCGAGGCTGGAGGCCACGTCGATCTCCAAAGCCTTGCTCGTCCCGTTACAACCAGGCTGCAAAGTCAGAGTGAGCTCACCTCTGTCTGTGTCACTGTCACTATTGTCAAGAACAGGAAAATAAAGCACTTACTAACAATGTGTTTGCTTACACCTTTCCGTTGTCTCCGCCTCACCATGCACACACAGGACACCGCCTCTGCCGTATTTCATGTCTTAGCCTAGTTGTTAAAAGGGATCCATTTACTAGGGAAGAAAAGTAACAAGAGGAAGGAAGCATACTATCTGTACCTCCCCTACTTCCTCCCGCTACTTCCTTTCTCTGGGCTGCCGCCAGCATGATTGTCCTTACTCCCAAATCTCCCAAATCTGACACATTCCAGAGTTTTTTTTAAAAGCTGACAATCTACAACTTCCTTGGAAAGGATGCCTTGAGGTGAGGAAGCTCTTTGATACAACTCTGGGCTGAGCATGAACTTAGAAGACAGTAGAGTCTGATAATTTTTCTGACACTGTCTGCCTTACAAACACAAGCTGAGTAGCAGCTGCACGGGGGTTACGTCCACTGATCTGACTGGGGAGACCCCAAACACTGCTCCTCAGAGGTGTCCCAGCCCAGTTCCTTGGGAGCCTTGACATCAGAAGACACCCATACTGCGGAGCCCTGTAGTGGCAATGCAGGGATCAGGTGCCCAGAAGTTCAGCTTGCAGAGTGCAGACAAGCGCTGCTACCGCCCTAGAGAATTCACACATCTACCATACACCTAGCACTGCCCAGTTGCTCTCGGCACACGGGACAGCAAGGGCCCAGCATGTCTTTAACTAAAAAGCTTGAGGATAGGGTAAGGAAATTTTGGAGTGTTTTCCGTGAGATCATTATTGGGGAGATAGAAATATAAGAAAAGTCAAATTGGCAAATGAGGCATTTCGGAGCAGGAAGAGTGGACAGTCAGGAGACCTCCTGGATGTCCCCGTAAGCAACGCAGTTCCCCTTTTCAGACTTCCACTTCTTTATCCATAAAAGGAGAGCATTACTAGCTGAAGTCCCCTTCTTACAGGAGTAGGCTATTTACATGAAAGGGTCAGCTAGAGGTTTTTCTATGAATTTTGGGATCATCGCTCCAATTTGCCTCTGGATTCCTAAGAACGATACCAAAGATGGCTGCCGGTGACGGGATGTAGACTTGAATGTCCTGGTATCCGATGAAAGGGAGGAAATTGTGTCCAGAAATCATGGATGCCTTGGGAAGCTTTATGCTATAAAATGTGATTTTCTAATAAGGAAACTCTTAATAGCATAAGTTGTCTTTCTCATGAGGAACTCTGACCTTGACTGCTCTTCTTCACAAAAAGCATTGCTCATAGCACCTTCATTCCCACTGCCCCTGACCTGTCCCCTGGAAGCCATGCCACTCCCTCAGCAGCTCATCTGCCTTGAGGCTGAATGGTTTTGAAGTTCCTTCTACTCCTAGGGGGAGATCTGGGAAGGTACTCGATCTCCTTTGTCCCTGTTATCATCTCTTCCTTCCTTCCTTCCTTCCTTCCTTCCTTCCTTCCTTCCTTCCTTCCTTTCTTTCTTTTTTTCTTTCTTTCTCTCTCCCCCGCTCTTTCCTTCTTTCATTTTTTGAGACAGGGTCTCACTATATAGCCCAGGTTGGGCTTGCACTATGTAGCTCAGGCTGCCTTCAAACTCATGATTATCCTGCCTCAACCTTCTGAGTGCTGGGATCACAGGTGTTAGCCACCACACTCAGATACCAATTTATTTTTATTTTATTTTTTTTTATTTTAAAGAATAAAAGAAGGATAACATAATAATAGGGGGGACTTAGCAAATTACAGACAAAATGGTAGGAAATTATCAATGGTTACCATTTTACATATTATTGTCTACAAAATAGTTTCTCAGGAAAACAAATAGACAAATAATAGTGAGTTAGAGACAAAAGAGGTAGGAGATTATCAAGAGTTGTTGTGCTATACTTTGGTATCTTCAAAGTGGCTTCTAAAGAAAATAAATAGAGCTATCCATGAGTGACCTATTGAAAAATCATTAACTATTCTCAATGGTTGTTGTAGGAAACACATAATAATAAACATACATCCATTTATGAAATAGGATAGGAACATTACAAACTTTACACAGTTATGGATAGATTAGTAGGAAAATATCAATGGCTGCTGTAATACGTGGTGGTATCTTCAGAGTGGTTTCTCAGGAAGACAGAGAACCAATTTATTTTAAAATGCCTTAAATAGAGTGTTGTAAAGGAAACTAGTAATCACTGAATCCTGGGTACAGACCCCAGTACCGCCACTAAAAAAAAAGAACTCTTAAAGTATGTCAGGCAGTAGGCTAAATACTTTTGCCTATTATTTAATGTAATATCTGAAACAATTGTTGAGGAGGAAACAATTATTATTCTAATTTTACCAATGAAAAAAATTAGTTTTAAAGAAATGAAAGTAACTTCCCCAGTTTGCAAAATGATGGGGCTAAGATTCTAAAGCAGGTCAGTTTGACGGCATGACCTGAGTTTATAATCACTGCAGTGTCCTCTGCCAGCCCAAGCGACCTTTATCCTCATACTTGACTCATTTGGAGCACTTGGCAAGGCATAATCCAAAGAGAAATAAAATTTGGATGTAGTCTATCTTTATTTCTAAAGCTTTTTTTCACTTTTTGTATCTCATGTCTCCTTGAATTTTACATCCTACACTCTCAAGATACTTCCTGCAAATCTTTTAAAAACCAGGTTCTTTCCTGGTGTGGGTTAGACCAGTTCTTGCTTTCGGTGAGGCTTAGGGACACATCCTCTAAATCACGATTGCTCCTCTTGGGATGTTTACTAATGATTCCTTAGTATTCTCCAACTTGACTCATTCACATATTTATTGAGCATAAACCAACTTTCAGGTAGTTTTCGGCATGAGGAATACAGCGGTTGGAAAAACAACCCCTTTTGTATTTTCCAACAAATCCCATTTTTTACTACTTTTTAACCCAACTCTGTTGAGCTCCATCTATGTTGTTGGGCTATATTTATTGTTTGAAAAGATTATATTCCAATTTTCCCAAACATCTTCTTCTTTATAAAGAGCCACATCTGTCTGCATACTCAGTGCATGATCTTCCTTCCAGGTCAAAGGGAGGAGAATGACTATTAGTGAGCAACTCCCTCATACACTAGTATTTATAATTCATTGTCTCACTTAATCATTACAAAAGAGCAACTGGGCAAAGGTCCTTATCTGTGTTTCCAATGAAACACCTGAAAGTCCAAGTGGTTAAATCACAGAACTTGGAAAAGACAGGGCGCGGAGGTGGAATTGCAGGGAGAATGCACAGAGCCTCCTTTTCTTCCTACTTGAAAAGGGAGTCATTATTCTGGAGTCCCAGGCTTAGAAAAAGATACTTCAAGGCCAGTGAGGTGGGTCCGAGAAATGATTACACTGTAACATCATCACCTGCTTCGCACCCTATCCCCTAGATGGTACGTGAAGAATAGGGAGACAGCTAACCTGTGCCATGAGTCACAGGAGTGCTGGGCAAGCCTGTGCCCTCCCAGAGCCCCACTGCTTGCCTTTGTGCTTTTGGAGACTATTCCTAGACTCTTAAATGTTTTCAGTCTTCAAGTACAAGGGGCAGATCCCAGAAATGATAGAATTAGAACAAGGGAGAAGGAAGCTGACTTGGTAAGGAGATGGAAGGATTCCAGAGGCAAACTCTTCCTATCACCCAAAGCTGAACGAACAGCGTCAATCCTCATGCTGCCAGCTGAAGACAATTTGCGAGGTAGGGGAAGTTTGCCTCTGGTATCTCTCCTGACACTTTTTGAGATTGGTTTTCAGGTTTGATAGCTAAAGGTCTCAAATGATGGAATTAGATCCTGTACAACATACAAAGCAAGCATCAAAATGTAGTGATGCTTTGAACTTTCCCTTGCTAAATGCAAAATTTCTATGCCACAGTTCTCTTTTCAATTTAGACAGGACTCATCTCTTGTAGCAAAAAAAAAAAAAAAAAAAAAAGTAAAAAAAAAAAAAAAAAAAAAAAAAAAAAATGTGGTCCTTTAAAATTTACTATAAAACTGATTTACTCTATAACGAATACAGGGAGAGTTTTATAATGAAAATTAATACTAAGTTTTCTAAAGATGTATTTTAAGTTATCTTTACAGTCTAGGTGCTTGGGTTTGCCTTTATATTTTAACAAACACTTATTTTGTAGAATGGATGTAAGTAGAGGCTTGCTTATCTTTTTAAAGAAATATACTCTGAGATGCCCAGGTGAGTAATGGATGAGACACTAACTGACCCATAATTGCTTCAATAAGGTTATGCTTTTACTTGCCTGGTTTTATGGTTTGTGTCTGGATGTTCCCCCCAAAGCCTCATGCAGTCATGGGGGTGGACTTTTTGAAGACAGCTTGTTAATCCTGGATCTCTTGTTTTCATACCCTCACCTCAGGAAACAGGGTTACACGGCTTCCAGCTTGATTCAGCAGGGGGCCGGGGTCCTCACTTTGTAAACATGCTCAGTCTGTGCAAGAGGAGGGCACTGAGATGATGTGAGTGCTGCACCCAGTCTAGGGCTGGTAGCCTGCATACAATATAAGGGAGAAAAAGGGGCTTGCTCTCCCCGCTTTTGCTCTTGTTACTTTTGTATCTTCTGCCGCCCGTGAACAGTTGCCCCTCTGCCATGCCACCCTGCCTTGGAGCCAGATGATTATGGACTGAAACTTCTATGAACTGTGAGCTACATAAACCTTTCCCTCTTTAACTTTAGGTGTGAGGTATTTTGTCCCAGCAATGAGAGAAAAGTAACTAAGACATAGGGTTTTGAGATGGGCAGATGATATATACTGTGAGTCACTCCAAGGATTTCATAGTCTGGGCTATGGGTTCTATAAATAGGGCCAGTTAAGGAACTTGTGTTTAAAGGGAAGCGTAAGTTGAGCTAAAAACTGGAGGAAGAAGCAACAATGAAGTTTCTTCTACTGATTCTGGTCCTCCAGGTCACCACATTCGACACTGCTCTCCCCCTCAATTATACAGAAGCAGAATATACAGATGCTAAAGTAAGTACTGACACTTAGAATTTACCTAGCTTGATTTTTGTCTTTAATATTTACTGTGCTTCTTAGTTTCATTTTTAAGAACGTCATTTGAAAACTGGTGTAGGAGACTATTCTTTGTATTGAATTTTTCTTTGCCATAGAGGAGTATAAAAAAGAAATATTGGCTTTGAAGAAGTGTTATGAAATTGGTGATATTTGTCCCTGGTACTAAAAACCTGTGATCAAGGAATATTGATCGAATATAATTAGGGTTCACTTCTACTATTGTATTTTACATTAGTCACTTAATACCAATTCATAATCTGAGTTTGTTCAATGACCTGGCCTATTTAACCACTTCAAGCTCCTACAGCAGTTTTGGCATACTCCCTTTACTCACTTTCATTCCAGATATTCTTCATAAGCATTTAAATTCTTTTATATTTATTTACTTGTTTTGGTTTTTCTGAGACAAGGTCTCACTATGAAGTTCAGGCTGGTCTCGAACTCACTCTGTGCACCAGCCTTGCCTTGAACTCATGGTGTTCCTCTTACGTTAGACTCTGAAGTGCTGGCATTACAGGCGTGCGCCACCACACCAAGTTCTTAAGCACTGTTAAATGTAATTTTTCAGTTGTTAGTTTTTCTTCTAATTAAAAGCTTAATTTCCTATTCTCTAAATTATTTTCCATTCTTATTTTAGTTTTTTGAGACAAGGTTGTTGTTACATGGTGCAGGCTATCTTTCAAACCATTGGCTTATGTGATCCTTGTTCCGCAGTTTTCTGAATATATACCCGGCTCTCTTTTCCAAAATTACTTTCTCTTTGAATTTATCATAATTGCTCACTGTGTCGTTTTGGGTGTTTTTGTTGTTTGTTTGTTTAATAGTGCTATCAACAGAATGCAGGGCCTTGCTATATGATAGGCATCTTGGTTACTTTTCTTCTTACTGAGACAAAAGACCCAACACCCAACGTTAAAGGAGGAAAGGTTTATTTTGGGCCCTAGTTTGTAGAGGTTTCCATCCATAATTGACTGACTCCAAGGCAGCATGGCACGGCAGAGCAGCATCACAGAGGAGAAAAAAGCATTCATGGCACGGAAGACAGAAGGCAGGAGCCAGCAAAGCAGCAAGCAGCAAACAATGACAGCTGCTCTCTTTCTGTCCCTTATATTCTATTCAGGCTGCACAGCCTTAGGGTGGGCAGCACGTGCCTCCCCATTACCCCCATTACCCACACTCACAATTATGCCAAAGCAGTCAGTGGGCTAATTTAGTAATCACACACCCTTGATCCTAGCATCGCACACAAGATTCCAGCATCACACACTCTAGATCCAGCCACCCCTGAAGAGCCCCACCTATAGTGCATGGGGCTTTGGGAGGACATGTACACATAACCCATAAAACTGGGTAAGGGCTCATCCGTTGAGCTACACCTTCAGCCAAACTGCAGGTTTTTATCCCAATTCAAGTATCCTCACTTAAAGGTTCTACTACTTATGAAATGCCATGATTTTGTTGAAGTTGCAATTAAGTAGAAACAAGTTTGAAGTAGTAAAAGCCTAAAGATTTTTCTACTGGGCTACCAGCAGCAAATTTAATTACAAATTCATGACATGCATTTGCTAGCTCAGAAAATTAAAAATCCTTTCTCAATATAACTGTCCAGTGAATGACAACTGGTGACTGAAATACCTGGCTCCAAAACATAGGTGCACAGCTGAGTCATATATGCAGAGATCCCAACAGAAACTTTTTAATGCGTTATTGCATGTATTTTTTTCCAGACGTATTTGACACTGTTTTACAACCTTAATGAAACAGACAGCTACCAAACGAAAAAAATGAAATTAGATACTAATGTTCTAGAAGAAAAAATCCAGGAAATGCAGAAGTTCTTTGGGCTAAAAGTGACTGGGCAGCTGGACAGACCCACTCTGCAGGTGATGAAAACCCCTCGATGTGGAGTGCCTGACGTGCACCATTTCAGCACAATGCGCCAGAGGCTGGTGTGGAAGAATCATTTTATCACCTACAGGTAATGCAGGTGTCTGAAGCCGTGCATTTTTCTACTTTTCCTTGGTCTGAATTCTAGAACGCTGAACCATTTAGATGGTAACCTGTTGTCTGGAAGTAGATAAACAGCTGGCTTCAATCATTAACTCTATCTCTGTGTTACATTTTATTATCTCTAGAAGGAGATGTAATTGTTGTAATTGTTTGGTTTGCCAGTCAGTCCAGCAAAAAGCAGCAAATAAAAGGAGAAGGAAGATAAATCAAATATAAGTAAGAGATAGGAGAAAGTTTATAGTCCAATTGGGTAAGACTGGGGGTCTGGGAGCAGGAATAGAAGGTTTAAGCTTCTGCAAAATAAATCCTTCACGGTGATGACCTGTAATTCATAAGTAAGGAGAAATTAAGTTAAATTTTGGTGAAGGAGAAAGTTGTCCAAGTAATAAGGGTTTTGTACTTAAAGAAGCAATTTTTTTAAAAAAAATCAAGTCTCTTGATTTATGAAATCATTCATCCTCCAGTGGTGGTAGCAAAACTAAAATACTGTGATAAGGCAAAATTAACACATGGTTTCCGTATATTCTCTCTCTTTTTTTCTCTTAAAGAATCACTAATTACACTCCTGACATGAGGCGCCAGGAAGTCGATGATGCCATTCAGAAAGCTTTTCAAGTATGGAGTGATGTGACCCCCTTGAGATTCAGAAAGATTTATGCAGGCGAGGCTGACATTATGATATCTTTTGCTTACGGAGGTAAAGAACCAGGATTTCACCTGTGTAATTTGGCATGATTTGTAACATGTACCGAAGCACTAATTTTCTTTCGCTTTTTTAAAAGATCATGGTGACTTCAATCCTTTTGATGGCAGAGATGGAATTTTAGCTCATGCTTTTGGACCTGGATCTGGTCGTGGAGGAGATGCACATTTCGATGAGGCGGAAACCTGGAGTGCAAATTCCAGAGGTAGGGAGAAAAAAGCACAGAGCAAACAGAAAGTAAACAAAATTTAAAATGAGTCCTAATTTTGAAAGACAACATTCTGAGAGAAGACTATAGCATGGAGAAACCTGTTCTGATCATGAGTATGTTCCTTTTCTTTCTTTTTTCTTTTTATTGGCCCAAGTTTTTTTTTTATTTTAAAAAGAATAAAAAACAATAACAAAATAACAACAACAAAGACGAAAAACAAGCAGCAGAATTTGTCATAGAATCTTGGAAACAACCCAAATGCCCATCCACTGAGGAGTGGAGAAAAAAGATGTGATTTTTTTATACAATGGAGTATTACTCAGGTGTAAAAAAGAGATAAACTTGAGGCTCTTATAGGTAAATGGATGCAACTAAAGACCATAGTCATAAGTGAAATAAATCACACCCACATGCATAAACATTATATTGTCTGCCTACTGTAAGAACTTGAAAGAGTAAATAAAATCCGAAAGGTACAATAGATATTGTGAAAGGAAAAGAAATTGCTCAAAGGGAAGGAACAACTGGGATGAGGCAAAGGAGAAAAAGAAAGAAAGAAAGAAGGAAGGGAAATATATGTATATATGTACATAGAAGGATATATATGTAGTGTTGACATCTATTGGTTTATTGAAAGGAACAGTTAATGCTTAAACATTTTGAGCAATTTTGCATAAGTATGCTTCTAAATAAAATTTAACATTATATCTGAGTCTCAGTTTCACGCTTTATAAAGTGAGGCTTTTGGACTAGATTAGCTTAAAAATTATCCCTAAGGGTCATTCTGTGAGGATTCTATGAGCTATAAGCAAGTTCATTAGTGTAAACTTCTGGAGAGGTAAAAGTTGTTATTTTGGTCTTGACAGCAAGACCATAAACTCAAAGGCAAACACTAGTATTAATTCTCTGAGTGCCAAAAGGTAAGATAAAGTTGTTGAGTGTGATTCATTATATGATACCAAAATTGCTTGGGTTGCAGAGATACAAAAAAATAGTTATAGAGAATTTGGAGAACCATGTGGAAAAGCACGTGATTACAGTCATGTAGTGTTGTGTGGTCCTGGCATAAAATTTTCAGAATGTCCAGCCAATTATTTAACTACGTGTGTTTACTAACTATAACTATTTACTAACTATAACTATTTACTAACTAACTATAACTATAACTATTTACTAAGTATAACTATTCATCCTATGTCTCAGGTAGTGAGAGTTGAGCATAAGTAAGCACATGGGAAAATTCAAACCCATCGGAAGCCTTCCTAATTCTCTACTGGAAATTATAGATTGTAAAACTCTCTCCTGTGGAAAGTAAACAGGGAGAAAGTCAAGAATGTGGTCTACTCAATATCCTCCCTCTGGTCACCAGTGTACATGTTACACACCAGTGTTTTATAGACAGTATGTCCACTGGAGAAGCTCCTGTAGCCTGACACATAGCTTGAGGCTTATCAAATTCTACTATCAAAGCACATCATGCAGGATTAAGTACTTAGAGAACTGGAAATCCTCAGCCATCTGAGGGTTATTAAATGTGTCTCCGTTTTATCTGAGGTTATGTGGGAATCATAAACTCTTCATCTGAAATGAGATAATTGTATTTGTTAGCTACAAAGAATGTTTTGGAATTCTAAAATATCTTAGAAAAGTAATTCGATGCAGCTCTGTACAGATGGAAAAATTTAGACCAAGAGAAGGGTAGTGGCTAGTTTGTGGAGAAACCGAGGCTGAAGTATGTATTTCCTAGCCCTTAACCTTATTTCTAATTGACTAGAGTCTATGCTTTCAAAGTTATTTATAAAAATTCTACCTTAAGGTGCTCATTCTCAGCCTACTTTCTGACCCAGTAAATCAAACGAACAGTTATATCAAAGACACTGAGTTTCTAATATGGTGGTGAGTGACACAGTGGTGGAATACAGAATTAAAACTGACATAGTCCTATCCTTGGGCATGCAGTCTAGTGAGAAACTGGGTGCAAATACACATCCATTGTGGGGAAATGAAGACCAATGATGATGCTTCGTACAAAGTGTTGGGAGAATCAAGAGGAGGAAAAGTTCAGGTTTAGACAAACTGTAAAACCTATATTTACTTTTCCCAGAGTCTTGTGCAGAGTGGAGAGAATAACTCAACCCTTGCTTTTTTTATTTTGAGACGAGGACTCACTAGCTAGGAATAGGTTTATCTCTCCACTCACACAGCTATGGCTTTTTCTAAAATGTTCTACAATAGAATATATTTTACTTGTCTGCCAATGCAGTAGTTTTAACTGGAAGCAACTTGGTCCCCAGTGGGATGTTTGACAATATCTGGAGACATTTTTTCATTGTCAAAGCTGCAGGGAGGTTGTACCTGCATTTAGTGGTAAAACGCAGGTTTCTAAGCATTATAATGCAGAAGATCACCCTAACCACAAAGAATTATCTGACTTATACCATCAGTAATGCTGAAATTGAGAAACCCTATTCAAGACAATGGGGATATAAGTAAAGGACTTTAAGCCCTTTTAAATGCTTCCCAAAAATAAAAAAAAATAAATGTTTCCCTTTCACTGTATAAGATGTTGCATCACTGTTTTCAAAATTACAAAGAATAAATGGAAACCTAAGTGTCCAGCAACTAATGAGGGGATAAAGAAAGTGGTACATAAGATGAAACTATTCAGTCATAGAAAGAGGAAATCTTGTCATATGGATAGAAATGAAAGTCATTATGTTAAGTGGGAAAATCCGGGCACAAAAAGACAAGTACCACATGATCTTACTCATTGTGAAACCTAAAAACTTGATCTCATTGAATTGAGAAGACTCTGGTGGTTACCAGTGGCCAGGGAGATTTAGGGAGAGGGAGGGTAAGGGCAGTGAGATAAGAGTAAGAAATTCTGTCCGGTTATAAAGAGCAATCATGCAGTGTGTCACTCAGAGAGCCAGAGGAAAGGATTTTGAATGTTCTTACCACAAAACAGTAAATCTTTGAGGAGATAGGTGTGTTCACCTTCATTTGAATATTACACAATGTACACAGTACCAAAATATCACACGGTAGCCTATAGATACGTATAATTTCATGTGTTGGTTAAAAAACAGATGACATGTGTTTCACAGCTTTGCCCTTTGGGGTGGTTTCTCCTTAGGCAGAAATCTGTTCCTTGTTGCTGTTCATGAGCTTGGCCACTCCCTGGGGCTCGGTCATTCCAATGATCGAAAGGCCATAATGTTTCCCAACTATGGTTATCTGGACCCCCGCACATTTCGCCTCTCTGCTGATGACATACGTGGCATTCAATTCCTCTATGGTGAGTTGAACTTCTTTATCATGTTGCTGTCTAAAGCTAGACACGCTTATGAGTAATCTAGTAATATTATCTTCCTCTCCCTGGTGAGGGTACGAGGCCTAGTGTGTCAATGTGGGGCAAGGTCTGAGGTTCTTTCTGTCTGACGTTATTGAATAAGGCCCAAAGAGAAAATAATTCAACTGGAAAAAAAAAAATCAAAGTGATCACATTGTTCTCTTCCACGATTGATATTGCAACCATATGGGGAAAATTCTTAGCTCATACTTCTAACGAGTTTTAGAGAAAATTTAAATTGATTTTGATGTATCGTTCATTTAGAAAATGGATTGTTTTTAAAAGAACAGTTCTTTCTCCTATGATCAAAATGAAAAGACTTTTCTTTTTTTTTTTTTTTTTTGGTTTTGGTTTTTTCTCCGGTACCAGGAACCAAACTCACGACCTTGCGCTTGCCAGGCAGGCGCTTTGCCGCTGAGCTAAATCCCCAGCCCCGAAAAGACTTTTCTTAATGCTTCTTGAAATGCACTTTCAGGGGGTCCAGCAAAGCCCCAGCCAACATCACATCCTGACAGTACATCAGTTTCCTGTGACCCCAACTTGAGTTTTGATGCTGTCACTAAAGTGGGAGATAAAATTTTTTTCTTTAAAGACCGGTAAGATCATTTTCATACCTAATTAATATTAAAGGCTCCTTTATGTGCGTGCGTGTGTGTGTGTGTGTGTCTGTGTGTGTGTGTGTGTGTGACAGAGAGAGAGAGAGAGAGAGAGAGAGAGAGAGAGAGAAATGAAAATTGTAGGCAGGACTTGTATCAGTAGGCAATGAAAAGATCTTGATGATTTTGAAGCAGGAAAGCAGTGCAATTAATTGTTTGCATTTTAACTAGAAAACTGATGCATAAAAATGAATTTACAAGCCATGCGTGGTGCTACACAACTATAATCCCAGTACTCTGGGTGACTGAGGCAGGAGGATCCCCAGATCAACCCAAATCTGGGAAGATTAGCAAGACCTTATCTCAAAACACAAACACACAAACACATGCAAACACAAAATGAAATCGTTAGAAGACGATGAACAGAAAAGCCCAACTATTTTACTCATAGATCAAAGTGGTGAAATCTGGAACTAAAGGCTGTGAAAGAGTTCTATGTATTTCTTGAATAAAAAATAATGTAAAGAATATAAAAAAGAGAATCCCAGGATACCTTATGAGTTATGTTTTAAAACACAGATTGAAGTGTGTAGGGGCAGTGGAGAAGATTAGTATTTGGTGGGTAGGACCAAGAGTCCTCCTTTGTGGGATTATAAAACAAACATCTGATATTAGGTGTCTTCCCTCTAGTTAGAAAACTGGCAAATAGACTGTGGGCCCAGACTAAAACCTCTATCCTTGGATTCCAAGCTCCAGAATATGTCAAGTGCTAGAGTCATTGTCATGTTGAGTAAGATCCTTTCCTCATGGCGCTCCTAGAAATTCACAGACTAGAATGTGAAAACAACAGAAAGAAATATTAAACCATTTCACAGTTCTCTGCCATTCTTGGGTCAAGGAGCCTGAATCCACACAATGTTTAACGCGTTGAATGTCCTTCACGGCAGGTTCTTCTGGTCGAAGCCTCTCGAGGAACCAAACGTCAGAGTTAGCTTGATTTCTTCCTTATGGCCAACCTTGCCACTTGGCATTCAAGCTGCTTATGAAACTGAAGCCAGAAATGAAGTTTATCTTTTTAAAGGTAATTCCAAAGTCTAGTTTTGCTGTTGAATATGCTTTAAGGAAAAGAATGAAGAAATAGTACTACTTTTTATAGATGTAAACCAAAAGTGTACCTTCATTTTATTAAAGATGGCTCTGAGCTCTAAGTTACAGCAGGTTAATTGCACAGGAAATATACCCAATATTTGAAGAAGGTTTGTAAATTATAAGACAGTAGTATCTGTGGGGGAGGAGGCATGGAGTCATAGAAGACAGACCTTTCTCAAGAAAAGCAGGTACGGTAATACATTTTAGAATTCTGGGAAAAGAAGGATGCTTGCAGTAAGTACTTTATACTACTCTGTCTCTATAATTCTAATATACCATTTTTCTTTGTCTTCACAGATGATAAGTACTGGCTAGTTAGTAATTTAAAACCACAGCCGAACTATCCCAAGAGCATATATTCTCTGGGCTTCCCCCAGCACGTGAAAAGGATCGATGCAGCTCTCTTCAACCCGTTTCTCTATAAGACTTACTTCTTTGTAGACAATCAATATTGGAGGTGAGCTTTCCTGACTGCTACTCTGACCCCTAGGATTTGTGAAACAGGAATGGAGCAGAGTCTTGCAGAAGGTAGCTTTTCTGTGCAAGAGCTCAGAGCCTTGACCTCCCTGAGACAGGCTCAAGAAAACGTAAGACGGAGATAGTCACGTGTCCACATAGTTCTCTCCTCTGTGATTTTGGTTTCTGATATAGGATATCATATATAATGTGTTTTTTAAAAGAAACATTTTGGGCTGGGGATTTGGCTAAGTGGTAGAATGCTTGCATGGCATGCATGGGGAACTGGGTTCAATTCCCAACACTGTGAAGGGTGTATTTAAAAAATTAAAAGAGTACTTCAAATAAAATGTTATGTTATTCATTGTAGTGGAAACACTGGAAAATAGTGTTGCCGCTATATGAGGCCAATTATTTAGTCTACAGTCATTTTGGGGCTATACAGATTTTCAGACTTCTCTCCGTGATTACTGGACCCAGAACACCCAATGAGGAAGCCATCCTTTGACAGGATGTCCAGGCAGTGTACCATGACAGGAAGTCAGACGGCCAGACAGAGCCAGGAGCTCATCTGAGCGGTTCTCTGGGTTTATCTCTAGAGTCTGATTTTGGAGTAAGACAGGAACCTCTATATCAGTGATGGCCAAATTTTTAGAGCTTTCAATGATACAAACAACCCACTGTAGCACGCGTGTTAGATTTGCCACCACTGCCCTATACACTCTTCTGAGGAAACCAATCATTTCCTGGATTGCTTGCATGGCTGACATAAGCATAATAGAATGTACTAAGAAGGTTACATTATCAACTCTACTTTTCAGAAAGTTCTATTTGCTGAAATCCGAAGTTCTTTTTCTCAGGACTTGGGTGCATGGTAAAAGTTCAACAGAACTTTTGATTTTAGCAAATAGAAGTTTCTGAAGGGTTCACACACTGACGTAATTCATAGCTTATCCTTAACATTGACATTTTCATTCTGACCAGTGTCTGTGTTTACTTTTCTTTTCTTTTTTTGGTTTTTTTTCCAGTACCATGAATCGAACTAATGACCTCGCACTTGCCAGGCAGGCACTGTGCCGCTGAGCTAAATCCCCAGCCCCTGTGTTTACTTTTCTGATTTCACCTGGGCCCAGATTTTTCTTTCCCTCAATGGACAGAAACAAGGGCCTATAATTATCACAGTCATGATGAGCAATAGATATTTGGAGAACTAAGTTAATAACAGGTAGATTCAATTGTTACTTGGAAATCTAGAAAGAAACAGAATTCTTTGACTCATTGGTAAAAGAAAATTAAGAAAAATTCTGGGGTCTAAGTAGCTTGGATATGGTAAAATTGTTTATTTTTCATTTCTCCCTAACATGTATGTTTAAAACCTTTTGGATCCATGGCTTTTAAACCCTTGCCTTCTATTATCTTATTGGGAAAAAAAATCATTGATTTTGTCTCTGTAGAAAGTTTTGAAAAGGCAGTAACAGACAACAAAATAATCTAGTTAACAGGGGACCAAATCACTGTGAGTACCGGGCTCTGTAACAGAGAACCAAGAACTGGGGAAAGCACTGGGGGAATGGCAAAAGGTTTAACTATCATCAGGAAGCCTAAGTTTGGAGTCCTGAAGGGACTTTTAGTCAAGGAGCAAACAATTTTACTCCTTGGTTTCTTCATCAGTACAGTTAAAGCCTTTCCAGAAGAGCCTTCTGGGACAGAAGTTAAGTTTGTAGTTCACATCATAAAATCCACCTTCTGATTGGGTTCTTGCTGGTTATTTCTTTGCTCAGGTATGATGAAAGGAAAAAGGTCATGGACCCTGGTTATCCTCAACTGATTACCAGGCACTTCCCAGGAGTCAGGCCTAAGATTGACGCAGCCTTCTACTTCAAAGGTAAGTAGATTAGGAGACCATGAAGACATTGAAATTCTTTCTTTCTGTCTATCACCTATCTATCTATCTATCTATCTATCTATCTATCTATCTATCTATCTATGGAACTAGGGATTGAAACCCAGGGCCTTTGTACTTAACTCTATCTCCAATCCTTTAAAAAAATTTTTTTTTAAATTTTGAAATAAGTTCTTGCTTAGTCACTAAGTTGCTAAGGCTGGGCTTGAACATGTGATCCTTTTGCTTCAGCCTCCCAAAGTACCACACCAAACTTGGAAAAATCAGAGTACGGATGGTCTCCAAATTAGAAAGGGACAGGCTCTGCAATTCTCCACAGGGCCATGGAGGGAAATACTGTGCTTGGCTTGATAGGATAGAAGAGGATGGTCAAGGAGTGGGGCGTCCAGTGATACATTGCTGGGAGGTCTGGCAGGCAGAAGGAATGCGATGGCTGCTGTGTCTCCCCCATCTCTGAGTCTCTGCAGTTTCCTGTGACCACATCAGCTGCACAGTATGAACCAGTGAGCACGTGTCAGGGGCGCTCAGGCTGGGCTGGAGCTTCAGACTCTCCCAGACCTTGCCGTCGTCAATTTTTGTCCAATTCCTATCCTCAAGGGCTTTCATAGGCTGGAACTGACGGTGGGGAAAGAGAAGCTCAGATTTTGTTGTGAACACTGAAGCCTCAGCAAAATTTTCAGTGGTCCAATATTTTCAGTTTTTCCTTCATCACTTTCCAAGACTATTAGGTGCCCTGTTTGTCTCCTGTACCATCTCTCAAGTCCTTTGCCCACAGGGTAGATATGTGGGGCAAGATACACTGCCAAAGGTCCCCAACATGTATATTCTTATATAGTATCTCATCTAATCTAGGCAATCTATAAAAAAAGACCTAGTTTTTTTTTTTTTTTTTTTTTTTGAAATACAAAGGGGAAAAATTAAATAACTTGTTTTCTTTTTTTAGGACACTATTATTTCTTCCAAGGATCTAAACAACTTCAGTACGATGTCCAGTTACACCGTGTCACCAAAAGGCTGAAAAGCAATAGCTGGTTTGGTTGTGAGGAATGATGTTTTTAATGGTGTTTGTCAATTCACTTCAATTTAATAAATATTTATTGTATATATGCTACATGCTCAAATACCTCTATGTAGTTATATATATCATAAAAAAGATAAAAATCTGCAAGCTACATGACTGTGCAGTGAAATGATTATAGAAAATGTAAACCCTTACTATCCATTTTTACTTGATTCTATTAAGTTTGAAAATAGGCCAACAGTATACCTTCAAAGGCCAAGAGTGTACCTTTTGGAGGCTGCTGTATAGGTTTGTCCCTACCATCTTTAGACTGAGAAATTAAGATTATTCCTCTGTCTTAACTAAAATTAAACATATTATTTTGCTTAAATAAAAATTTTAAAGAAAATGTTTGGTTGTTAACACGTTTTTTTTCTTGCAAAGCAATGTATTTCAAAAACAAGTGAGCCTACTTGTAAATGAAGTCTTTCTGTGGCCGGACCAACGGGTGACTAGAAACATGACAACTATAAAAAAAGCAAAAGCTTAGATTGCTACTGGTCACTTGTATAAGGCCACCTGCATCCTTGGTCTCAAGATCAGAAAGCGCTCTTCATCCTCTCCATGATGTCAAGGAGTAACTCCACAGACAGGAGGGAGGAAGGGGAGGAAATCTGAAGGGAAGTAAGCCTCTCACTTCCTAGGGAATAACTTTTCCTGTAGGGCTGTCTGGGCCCTCTTCCTTACAAAAGCAGTTCTAGGGTCATCCTAGAATTGTAAGTACGAGTATCCACTTACATTCAGAGTGGATCTAAGACATGAGGATGAAGATCTCCTCCCCGTCTAGACTCTTTGTCTTCCCCACACGACCCCTGGTTTCAGTTCATTCCACTCTTTGAAATGATCATGTGACTGGAGACAGGCTTAACGGTATCTTGGATCTTGAGTGCATCAATCAGTTTTAAAACTAGACGCATCCACAAACTCATACTGGTAAAAGCTGTACAGCATATACAGTGCAGAAGATGAGGAAAATGTGTCAAAGAAACAAAGCAAATTGCTGTGAGACAGGCCAAGCTATGAGCATACTGCGCTTAGCATGCATTTTGTGGGTACTTTTTTCCCCATAATAAACCTGTGAGAGGGGTACCACTAACGTATCCTCCTAAATTTAAGGAATCTTAGATTTAATCACTCGTCAAGGTCACAAGCAATGACACAGCCCACATGTGAGGGAAGAGGGAAAGATAGGGAGAGGGAGGATGGAGGGAGGGAAGGGATGGGGAAAGTGGGGGGAGAGGGGGAGGAGGGAGAGAAAAGAAGCAGAAAAAGAGGAATGTAGCTAATGAACTCATCCAAAGCTACATAGCCTTAGAGCAGTAAGTTAATGCTAGGAACTCTGAGCCCAGAACTGATGTCATTAAGGGCCACAAGATTCTGCCTTTCAGATTTACAAAGTAGAAAAAAAATCAAGTTTAAATCTCTATAAAGTTTTGCATTTTTACTTGGCTTTTCAATTAAAACTCTTTAAAATATTGGTAAATCAAAAGAAAGAGGATAAAAGAACTATCTGAATAGCTAATGACCAAATGTTTCCAAATTTGATGAAATGTGTAAATTCAAGGTCAATAATGTCAAACAAGATAAGCTAAAGAAAACCACACCAGGGAGTATTACATGCAATACTCAGGATGAAAAGTTATAAAGACAACCAGAGGAAAAACAGACAACACATGAATATATATTGACTGCAGAATTTTCTCCCACATATTTGTTATACAGATTAATGGATTTCATTTTGGCAGATTTGCACATGCATATAATATATTTTAATTATCCCCTCTCCCACCACCCTCCTTGCCTCCCCCCGGGTTTCACATTTTTGGAGTTTGAAAGTAGATAACATATGTTCATCGATTTCATCCCCCAGTACCTGCCTTTACACTGGACTGTAGAACTGTCAGAAATAATGAGATCAGAAGATAGCGACGTGATACAACAGAGTGAAATGAGACATTGAGCTAGAATTCTATATCTTGTGAAAATAAAAATTAAAAACAATATACTTTTTTTCAGAGGAGAAATAACTGAAGGATTCATGTTAGAAAACAAGTACTAAAGGAAAGATTGAAGAAGTTTCTTCAAATAAAAGGAAAAATGTTAATTTTTAACATACAAAAGTGAAAAACACCGTATTTGTTAGATTCTGTTTTTCTGTTTTGTTTTGTAGCATGGGGATGTAACTCCCCCTTCACAACTGAGCTACATTGCTAGTTCTTACCATTCACTCACTCACTCACTCACTCATTCATTCCTTCATTCATTCATTATTCATTCAGACAGGTTCTCCCTAAGCCAGTAAGTTACCTAAACTGAGCTCTAACTTGCAATCCTCCTGCATCAGCCTCCCAAAGTACAGGCATTACAGGTGTGATCTACCATACCAGACAAGATTCAGTTTTTTTTTTTACCTTCAATTATTCTAAAATTAGTTGAATCTCTGAAGCAAAGGAATAAAAATGAATTTTGGAGTTATTTCACTTGGAAAATATACATCCAAATAAAATATATGATAACTATAGCACAAATGTGAAAAAAATCAAGTGTGTGGGGTGTGGGTGTGGGAAAAGAGAAGTGAACGAAGGGGAAATTATGTAAGTATGTATATACAGGATAGCTAACATAGTTGTACTACTGTCTTCTATTGCTCTACAGAAAGGAACAGTTAATGATTACTTGTTTGATCAATCTTGTATGTCTCTATTTGTTTTCTTGAGAAACCACTTTGAAGATATCAATAAGTAATACAACAACCATGGTTAATTTCCTACAACTTTGTCTGTAACTCTGTTTTATTTGTATTGTTCTTATGCTATTTTGTAAATGGATGTCTGTTAATACGTTTTCCTTTTTTATTTTTTAAAATAAAAAAATAAAAAGATACTCCCAGATAGAAAAAAAAAAAAAAGAAAAAAATGCAAGTGTAAGGTTCTTCTGTGTGATGCGGTATGACACTATTTGAAGGCAAAATTGACAAGCTAAAGTGAAAAGCATAATATTAAAGTCATCTACTAAAAATAGAAGGTGTGGCTAATGTCGGTCACATCGACAGAATACTAAAAATTGTTCTAGTCATCTAAAAGGAGACCTGAAAAGAGGAAGAAGGAACATATGGAACAAGTAGAAAGCAAAATGGAAGACGGTAGGGTAGACCTGACCCCCTCATATCGGTGATTTTGTTATAAATTGTCTAAACGCGGCAACTGAAAGAAAGATTGTCAAACTGAAACTATTTCCTATCCATCAGCAAATTCCTCACTTGCCCGTCACTGGGAGGTTTGTTGAGGCTTCTGGTTTTGTCCAGAGTTGGCTGATTGCAAGGCAGGACTCCGTGAAGGAAGGAAGCTGCTTAATCCGTGGCAACCAGGAAGCAGAGAGAGAAGGCGGGAGCCCGGAAAGGAGGTCCCGGCCAAAGCACACCCTCAGTAACGCAGGTCATTCCACCAGGTCCCAGGTCCCAGCTCCTAGCAGCACATTTAGCTAGGAACTCGTTGTTGGATCGGTCCGCTGATGAATGTAGCGCCACCACGATCCAATCTTTCTAAAAGCCCCAGCTCTGAACACCAGAGGCGTTGGGGGGACATTCCGGATCTAAACTATAGCAAGGGTCTAGCTCAGTAGTAGAGCATCTGCCCAGCATATGCCAGACCTGCAATCCCCAGCACGGCAAGTACAAAGAAACTTGTTTCAAATGTAAAGACACTGATAGGTTAAAAGTAAAAGGATGGATAATGGGATATACCATGGGAACACGAGTCATGAGAATGGTGAAGTGTGTATATTAAAGCAGTCAGATTAGACCACAGAGCAAGGAGTGCTATGACTGATATGGAGCACAGTTCCTTCAGGGATGGTCCCCTGGTCCCGGAGCATTACTATCTATGCTTGTCAGAAAATTAGTAGAGATGCAAATCTCAGCTCTTGCTCAGACCTGCTGAATCAACTCTGGGGAGGAAGTACAATGTTCTCTCAAGCTCTCCAGGTGACTCTGCTTCATGCTACCATTGGAGAACCACAGGCATAGAGCAATACTTCATAATTATGCAAGGGTCAATTAAACACACCAAAGAAGCTATTCATGTTGAATTTCTGTTCCAGCACTGCTACCTATCTGACCACCGTATGACACTGTGAAAGCTACTTAATCACAGTGATGTGGTCTCCTTCCTCATTTGTGAAGTGTGGCTACGGACTGCTAGAGATTACTACATAGATAGATAAATAAAAAAATAGATAGATAGCTATCACAGAGGCATAAGCAATGATTCTAATGGAGCTATTAGGGTTTTGCAATGATTTGATACATTTTTACTGATCAGATCAAGGTCCCCTTTGCATATGTGTTCCTGCCATCTTTTCTCCTTAAATGCCGCACTAGCGGTCCCATACACAAAACCTAACTACCCCTCTAAATCCAAGCAAGTCTAGCCTCACTGGTCTTTGTCTCCTATGATATACTTTTTATACCTTACATTTTGGTACTTAAGTATGCAATGATTTCCATCTTCCAAAGTTTCTCGTATGTTTTTGTAATATTTAATAATACCAAACAAAACTTGTGTCACGTGTGTTGGTGCTTAGTAATGCTATAAAGTACTATATTAATATACTACAATGTGGGGCTGGGGATTTAGCTCAGCGGCAAAAGCGCCTGCCTGGCAAGCACAAGGTCATGAGTTCGGTTCCCGGTACCAGAGAAAAACCAAAAACCAAAAAATATATATATATATATATATACTACAATGTATCACTCTTCTGTACAATGGTCACTTGAATTATTTCTGGACTTTCCTATAGATGAAGCTGTAGAATATTGTCTGTATCTCAGGAACCCAAGTGTAAGAGTCTCTCTGTGGTATATTCTGGTTATGGAATGACGAGGTTTTGCAGTTGTCAGACTTAACGGCCTCAAGCAACTGTGACATTACACAGCTGAGACTGATTGTGTATGTCAGTGTCTTGGGAAAAGGTTCATGTACTGGATGTGCTTTGAATAGATCAAATAAAAGTAAGCTTGGTGACTGTGGGTTTTTTCACAGAACTGCGGGTCTCCAAACCTGTTCTGACTCCAGTAGCTGCTAGATGGCTCCACTATGCTTTTGAGCTGCTGGTTGACAAAGCCACCATCCACCATTTTTTGACAGACTGGGCCATTTTTCTTGAATCTGTGCATTCCAGATTATTAAAAGTCTATAGTTAATTTCTAGGATTCTGAAAAAGTTGATTTAGACTGTCATTTTGCCAATGCTTTTACTGTTTCTTAGGAAGAGTATTTTGAATGTCCTTGGTCTATAATCACAGTTGGTATCACTCTTGAAATTACTAATTTTACTGCTGACAGCAGATATTTA